TTTTTTCTGTGCTGAAATATTCCAAGTCTTTTTTATTTTGATTGAAATGTCTGCTGCAGGTTATAATCGATGATGATATGACGTATTCATCGTCATGAACAGTCAACATAATAAAAAAACATTGGTTTAATCTCCACTTCATTATGTTCAACCTGAACAACATCATACCTCCAAAAACTGAAAGGGAGTTTTCGAAAAAACTATTGCTAAGAAAAAGAGAATTGAAACTTATTACTAATATCTGTTTCACAAATTATATCTTACTTTATGTTAGTCACTTAGAATTTCGTTTCGTCATAGAAAACATACTTAGTGCGATTTTTACCTAATTTTTGAACTAAATTATATATCGGAAATCCGTAGTGCTGCTGCGGATTTTTATATAGAATTTATTGAAACTGTAGACATTCTGGATAGTCTCTATTCATTTTTCAATAGATTCATTACCAGATCATTCATCACATTTTAGATTTTTCGTTTGTGAAAAAAAAAGTCATATCTCATCTACTCATTTCCACTCAGTCACACTTCGATTATTTTTGTGCAGTCAGGTTTTCAAATCTACAATTCTAAACTCAAATCCGAAGTTTCCTGCTTAATGTCTAAAATTGATTTACACAACGCGATTTCTGTTGAGGCGTCCATGCCAAATCATTAGAATGTGAAAATCTACATTTTAAAATACAAACAGCAAACGGTTTAAAATATGTCTGTTTAAATCATGTTTTTTCGTTAACCAGCTGTCGCACCCCTACGAACGACAACCCTCAGAAGTATAAACTTGTACTAGCTATAGATTAACGAGGTCTTACATTTTAACGTGTGATTCCGAACACTATATTGATATTTTCAACTTATAACATATTCAAATTTTTGAATCTAAGATAGCGCAGAAGTTAAAATTGCTCCGACAAGCTAAATGGAATAACGCACTGTTAGTTATTATATTATTATTATCCTAACTAGAACGGAAACAGTACATTTCCGTACTCGACACCGTTATCCGAAAAAGCTGATTTCGGGTAAGTAGTCGAATGTGGGAAAGTATGAGTTCAGATCAAGCATTTTTCTACGAGTGAAAATGTTACGAAGCTCTGAAAAAACTTTTATATGCGAAACAATTCCTGATCTGAATGGCTTGTAGATATAGGGTGATGCACGCACACGCACGCTTGTACAAAAAAAAATACAAAACAGGAACTTTTTCAAAAAATTCTACATCTCTCAAAAAATTCTCCATCTGTATTATCGAATTTCTGCACCACGATAATCTAGTTAGAATCATGAAATGCAAGTGCAGCGTTGCCCGATTGTGGGCTGACCAACATTCTATCCATTGGAAGTGTTCGTATAAACCTGGGCTCACAAAGACACTATTCACAACAGGTGTATACAATAACACAGCCACGCCTCCTGGCGAAGTTTTGTGAAAGTAGGTGGTGTATCAGCTATGTGTATATGGTGTAATTGTCGGCCCAACCGAAAATTTGCCAAACGTCATTTCACATGATAACATGTCCTAAGGATGGGCAACACTTGGTTACCAAAAGATAGAAATACAAATGCACGGAGCCACCAACAGGAGTGGTGGAGTTTATATCTCTGATATGAGCGGATATAACATTATATAACCTAGGAGCAAAATAAGTGCGTTGTCCAATAGTTTTTGACATCTTTGGTACTTCAATCGAATGTATTCCATAATGTGTATGATGTAAGTGATCAAGAGTTTCAGCATCTTTGAGATTTTTCCGTTGATATACCAGTAATGATAGAGCAAACATTTGTCGTATGTCCATCAGTTCGGCTTCAGTGTATAGATCGTCACTTGGGTAAGTCTATTCAAAATGATCTTAATAATCCACTTGTGAAGTGTCTCCCAGTTCTGAAGGTAATAATTAGTGACCCCTCCCCATGCGATTATGCCATACCACAAATGTGTTTTTACTAAAGCATGATAGACAATTTTAATATGTTTCTGGTCAAGGATGTATTTTAGGTATTTAAATTAATACCATATCATATATCCCAGTTTTTTTGTCAGATTATTCATATGCTTGTTCCACTTCAAGTTACTGTCAAGCGTTATACCTAAATATTTGACAGTGTTGGTTGATTTGATATTCGAACATCTATAGATGAATAGTTGGGTAGATTTGATTCGTAGCTTGTGAAAGGTGTGTACATGGTTTTCTTTAGATTTACAGTGAGTAGTTTACTACTGAAATATTCCATTATTACGGGGAATGAAGATGTCACTTGCGCTTCCAAGATATCCCAATTCTTTTTTTTGAAGGAGAATACAGTATCATCAGCAGGAATATGTAGGACGAATAGAGAATTGATATAAATAATAAACAAAATTGGACCGAGCACTGTTCCCTGGGGGACCCCGTATCTTATAGTTCTGTTAGCACTCATTTGATCATCAATACTTACGCATTGTTTTCGGTATTCAAGATAGCCTTTCATCAATCGAAGTGTGATCCCCCTGAATCCGATGTTCTCGAGGGTTTCTAGTAAATTTGGATGGCTGACGGTATCAAACGCTCTTGCGAGATCAACGAATAGACAAATGGCGGGCTCCTTCGAATCTGAAGCGTTGTACAGTTTTTTAATTGAATCCGCTATAGCGTCCTGAGTTGATCTCCCATTCATAAACAGAGAAAAAAAAGAAAAGCTGTACTAACCTTAATTTCGTACAATATCAAATGAAAAAACACGACAGCGTATTTTCCTGATGAAAAATTCTTCCAAATGGGGGTGATAATCCTCCGTCATTCGGTGTGGTAAAAAATTGTTGTTGTTGTTGTTAATTGGTTTCCTCTCCACGACTGAACTTACTTGAATTCGAATTGAATTTTTGGAAATCCACCTGTGAGAAACCAAAAATAAAAAGAGTTAATGTTTCAAATTATACGAACACTCTCATTACAAATGACAACATGAATGATAGGTGTTCATACCTCACTAATCGTTTTATTCAACTAGAAAGCTGGTCATGAAATGAGCTTCTGTTTACAACATTATAAATGTGTATATAAAAAAGCTATGACATTCTCAAAAGCAAATAGATGAAATACGAATTTGAATAGCCTTGTATATTATTGTAGTCGGAAGTACAAAATTTGTTTCTCAGCATCGTTGACGAAATGCCCCATAAACAACGATTTATTTTACAACCGACAACACCTGCTGTGCTAGGAACGTTAATCTTCGACACCCTTCCCATCCCTCTTTGCCTCGATTACGTCACACGCGTCTCTCGCTCTTACACACATATACACATATTCATACGAAATATTAATTCTTTCCCAAATCTAAGTATATTTTCCTATCTCCAACATGATAATGACGATTACAACTCCCCTAAGATTCTACGAAAATCAAAAAATGCGGTCAAGTATATGAAATGAGTCAATTTCGGTGCCTACAAAACTAACGCTGTAAATACCCATCATTCTCAGTTTCTTTCATTATCTTATGTTGGTGTAGAGGCTAAGGACAATGTCTACCACGCGGACGACTCGGGTTCGATTCTCATAACTATAAACTTTTTTCAATTAGAATCACGTGACTGGAACGTGACAAGGGAGCCGAGGGGTGATGCGGACTCGCAAGAGGAGCAGACTACTAAGGGGGCCGATTTCACCCTTGAATCGCTACGATACTCATTCCATCCTGCATCGATGACGTCACACGTTTCTCTCTTCCACTCACTTGAGTTTCTCTCTGGAACACTTACCAGCGACGCACGATCTTGAATTGCGCCAGAACTCACCTTGTTCATCTACTTACTGTATTTTCATTTCACGTTTTATTGCTTATATGTAGTTGATATTTTAGATGTTCATTTGATGGTATTTGTTTTTAATAGATTTCGAATCATGTTAGAGTCATATCAGACAACGAAAGTACAAACTAGTGAAATTCATTGAAATTTTCTCTAATAGTGTTATTACTGTATGAAAATTCACACTTGAAAAAATGAATAAATTGGTTTCTGAAAAGTTGTTTTCAAATTTCAGTATTTTTGAGTCAGGTATGTTCATTCGAATCTTTACAAATATTCGTGTTAGGAAATGAAACGTAATTTTTTCCTCAGTTGCTACAATTCAACCTATTGAAACAACCTTTTATAGAAATAGCCAAAATGAAAAAAACTTATTCTATGTATATTTCTGATACTTTTTTTGAGGTACTGTTTCTCTACGGAATTTTGCAGCAGTTTCCGAATTATCTCAGCCTATAAATCAACTGTTCCGTAGAACCTGTAATACAGAATAATATTAAGGAAAAATTTCAACCAAACTTCATTTGTTTCAGATTCGGAAAACACATTTTCCATCTTTCCATTGCGATATGTCTCACCTTGATGACGGAATTCTCTATTTACTTTTCAACTTGAAATAATTTTTGTTACAAAATTAGTTTTCCATGGAATGCGGCAAACAAACACATTGCGGTGGTGGAGGACATTTGCGTGATACTTTGGATGCAGTGTTATATTATTATTCTGGAGGTATTGGTTGCCGATCTCAACAGTTGAGATTAAGATTAAGTGCATGAGGCAATAAAGAAGACACTAATTTTGTTCACTTATGATATCAAAACTACGAACTGAGAAATAATCAGCTGTGTGTAGAATAAATACATGTCAACTGTCATTGATTACTGTTGAAAATTATACTGAAATCATTTAATATTGAACCCCTGTAAACATTTCAATATACTTTTCCCAAATACCAATGAACATTTCAAACCAGACAATTTGTTAGTTTATTATCAGAATTCACATCACGTTTTCAGACTGCAATACTGATTAGCTTCTCTTGATCCGACCATTAGCAAATTGCCAATATTATTCACCAAGTCCACTATATAAAGTTTCAATGTAGCATCGTTATCTTCAAATAAAGCCACTTCATTATAGTAAAGTATTTTTCCCGATTTAACTAGAGAACATGGAATATTACTTCTATCGGCCAATGCTTTGAAGAGAAGTGCTCTCTCACAGTGGAAACCAATTCGCAGAAAGCCTATCGGTATCACGTTGGTGCCTAGTTTATCCTTGAGACACGCCAAGTGGAGTTGGTGTTGATGAACTTTTTCCGGTTCTGTCAGGTTATCTTTCGGACCAGAAAGTATAGTATCTACATATTCCGCTAATATTCGAATCTTCATATCCATTCCCATATTTTCATTAATGAATCCGTTCAAATGATTCAAAAACCTTGGTAGAAAGGGATCTGCTGATATTTTGCCATACCTGACATTGTAAGGGTTTCCACAAGAACGAGAAGATACAACTGAATCTAGAGAATCTTCTCTTTTCAATATTAGGCTAGATGCTCCACTTTTACTATCTTTTGATTTTACTCGTTCACTGCGTACCTCATACGTATAATCCACAATGTATACAGTTGAAAGCGTTGACATTTTCAATGCTTCCAAAATTTCAAGGAAAGGAAAAGGTGATGTCCAATTGCCGTTTATCAAATAAAACTTAGTTTTTAGTTTGTCTGTAATCTCTAGACGATTCAACTGAAAAAACTTCGTAGGCAGGTGGATATTATAAGCGGTAGATATAATGGTATTGATTAAAGGTGCCTTAGACGCGATCTTATTGGGAAGTTTACTTAAAGTAGATACAATATTGTTCCGAAGGAACTCCATGGTCCAATTTTCATCTGATAGTACGCTGTGCATGAAGAGTAGAAGCCCTTTCAGGACTCTCAAGTTCGAGGTGGTTTTTATCTTATTAAGAACGATGGAAGGGCCTTTCAGAGATAGGAAAACTTTCTGGAAATCGCTACTATCGGTGAAGTAAGTGATGATTTCAGTAGCCAATATTGAAAGACTATCAGGACCATTTTCCAACAATTTTAAAAGCTCCACAAAAAATTTTTCGTTCAAAATTCCTTTCTGGTATACTGGATGAATTGCAAACTTGTATAATATCTCAAGTATTCTGAGGTAAGTATCTTCCGACAATTTGTTTCCTTTCTTGAAGAGATCAAGCAAAATTTTCTGGCTTCCCAGCGAGTAGAGTAAGTCTATTGTTTTGAGTGATCTTCTACAAAAATCAGAAATAGTTTTTAGCGCTACCTCATTCTCTGGATCTTCTTCATCTGTCCTTTCCAAAATTTCAACAAGCGTTTTGAGTACCATTGGCGTCAGCATATGATCACAACAATATTTGTGTTCGGACATATTAGATATAGCTCGACAAGTTTTGTTCAAAATTATTTTATCTTCGCTTCTAAGGAAAAATAATATTGAATCCTCCACTGAAAGATCGAAAAGGATTTGTCTAATTTTAGGTATCTTGGATAACTTTTCAAATATATCTACGCAAGGTAAAAGATACCCACTTTCACAAGTTTTAACCCAGAGGCAAAAATTCAGAAACTCCAGTGATTCTATGAAATAACTAGATGTTTCCTCACTATTCATGCAGTTTTCAATTATGTCGAGAGCTATGGTGTGAAATTTCTTTTTATCAGTATCCATAACTATTCCTAATAATGTTTCCACTAACTTAGATTGCTGGAACATCCGTTGGAAAACTTCTAAACCGAAAGAGGTGAGCCTCTGAACTACTTTGAATGCCAATTCTGCAATGTTGTCTTCTGTATGTTTCGTTTGAGTTAATATTATTGACACATCAAAATTTTTTACTTCTGGTAAAATAGAAAGTACTCCTGGCGTATTGAGAAGTTCGTAGAAAAATGCCAAAGTGGACTCTAATAAGTTGAGACTTTGAGTTGTTTTTATGGTAGACAGAACTGGGTTCAGTAAGTCAACTCTGAATATCAAAGACGTTATTCTACAAGATACTGCTAACTTTGACAGAATGGAGACGCAAAATTCTTTAACGTACAGGTCGCTGTGATAAACATAGAGATTGGATATCTCTATAATTTTTTCATCATGAATTTCTTGGTCAAGCTCAAGAAGAACGGTATCCAGTGCCAAAAGCACATTCAATAATCTCAGTGCCAGTCGAAGAATACACACATTTTTTTGAAAAAGGTTCAGTAATTTGGTTACAAGTCCTTTCTGCTGCAGGTAATTCAAATTGTTCAGGCGAATATCCGCATATTTGGACAAAAATAACAAGGATTCAAGGACAACGTCATTCTCCGGACTATCTAGAATTGCAATAGAAGTATCAACTTGTTTGGTTATATATGTTTTTTCTTTGATATCATCCGGCAACTTCAAATCTAATTTCTTGGTTTTAGATTTAGAAACAGTAGGGGCGCCTGCCATGACAAAAACCACATAGGAAGTCTGATAGTAATATCATAAGAATATCTAATCATTTGACAATGACATCAAACTGACATAATTACAGAAAACACGAATCACTTTGATTTCTTCTGTGAGGAGCGGCAATGAACTTCATAATGAAACTGATATGAAATAGATGAAATAATCACTATATTAAATAGGTTGAAATGTGTGCAAGTCTATCATTTTCGAAATTTTGCCAAGCGTTTGCTTCGAGTCTATATCTAATAATTTAGAATTTTAATATACAAAAATATTCCTTTCAAATCAGAATTTTCAAAATAATGAAATTTCATAAATTTTGATAGATTAGGCCTGGTGTACGAGATTATTTTCATAAAATAGGAAGGATGATAATATCATTGTCACGATAGTGTAACTTAGGATCAAGTTTAGTTCCATTTATGTATGTTCCATGTTCGATGCACAAGGTGCCAGTTAACAATATGGTTGACAAAAAGAGTGATGCGTCGTTAATAAAAATATACTTTGTAAATGTATATATTCAATTATTTTATCATCAAGCAATTAATGTGTAACTCAGATTATATCATTATACAACTGTAACATGGTGTCACCTTTGATGGTACTTGAGTAAGTTGTAAGATATCCACTTGAAATAAATGATGAAACAAATAAAAGCGTGTTATTCAACCAAGATATATATGTGAATCTGGATAATTTTTAGAAAGCCTTAATATTTACATGAAAGCAGCCGGACTTGAAAGTAAGGAAGATCCAACTAAAGTTGCTATCTTATTGAATTTGGCTGGTGAGGAAACACAAAAGAAGTTTCAGACATTCCGGCTAACGAAGGTAGAAGAAACCAACTTTGATAGTGTAGTAAACGCCTTCAAGAACTATTGTAAACTTATGCGAAATGAAACTTATTACGGCCATATGTTTTTTACCAGAACTCAACTAGAAGTTGAGTCATTCAGTAACTTCGTAACAGACATTAAAATGCTTGCATCCATATGCATCTTTGCTACGTTAGAAGATCATCTGATCCGAGATAGACTGGTGAGTGGTATACTAGATTCGTAACTGCAAGAAAGGCTACTAGAGCAATCCACTTCAACACTCAAGAAAGCAGACGCAATCTACACAACATCTGAGTTGAGCAAAATACAAGTTGAGGACCAGTATGAAAACAAAGGGGTTGATATCATAAAACAATCATTAAGAAATGGAGGTAATCAGAAGCAACCAGGACAAGCTAGATGCCAAACCCAAGAAAGTGGTGATAGTAGTAATTATAATCGTTTAAAAAGTGGTCGTAGGCATTCTACAGGTAATTGCTCTGCTTATGGTAAAATTTTATCAATTTGCAATAAACCTAACAATTTTGCTATAGGGTGTAGAAATCAAGATTCTATAAAACAGGTTTGTAAAAAAAGTTGATATAGTAATTATTATTAGAATTCTAATTTTCAAATTGAATACAGGTGCTAGTTGAAATGTGTTTTGCCTTTGATTTATAATAATTTGGGATTCAAAAATATCAGAGTAGATATTCTCAGCATGCTTCGATAATAACTTATGGTAATAATGAAATCGATGCAGCTGGTACTGTCACTCTCGAGTGTTGTGATAAAGGGGCAAAGTGTAAGATCAGGATCCCGCTTGTTGATGTAGATAGTTCACCAATCTTTGGATTGAATACTTGCATGAAACTCAACTCATTGAAACAAGTTCATTATGTGAATTGTGGCTTTACTAATAAAGGTAATTTCATTAATATGAATAGAGGAGTATATTTCCTCGTACAGGTGAGGTCTGTTTCAAATATAAAATAGTTTTGAAGGGTAACCTTTTGTCAGCCCATGTCGTAGAATCCCTGAATCAGTTGAACTTGCATTAAAAAATAATCTTTACGACTCAGTTCATAGGGACGTAATTGAACAGGTAGATGAGCTCACAGAGTGGGTGCATATTATAGTTTTGGTGGGAAAGCAGGATACAAAAATACAGAATATGCCTTGATATATCACATCTGAATCAAAATGTATGCACAGATCGATATCCAATTCCAACTGTGGTAGAGTTGGCTTTGAAATTGAAAGGAAAATCAATCTCCTCTGTGGTACATCATAAAGAAGGTTTTTATCATGTACCGCTAGATAATAAAAGCATGAAACTATGTACTTTCATTACACCATTTGGTAAATATTGCTTCAAATGACTTCGTTTTGGATTGAATGTAAGTCCAGAAGTATTCCAGAGAGTAAATGAAGAAATTTTTGTTGACCTTGACATTGGTATTTATTTTTGATGATTTCATAATATATACGGAGACCGAGGAAAAACACGACCAAATTCTCAATGAAGTTTTAGCAAAAGCAAGAAAATATGGAGTTAAATTTTATGGAAAAATTACAATTTGAAGTGAATGAAGTGGAAGACAATTTTTTCAGTAGATGACATCAAACCAGATCCTCAATATACTTTTATTTATTCATTTATTTATTTATTACACAAATAGGGATACGAACAGAATGAATCCAAAAAATTTCCTCATTTTACATATGAAAAATAGTGAGTAAACAAAATATAAATGCTAAGTACATTACACAATATAGTAATGAATATTAACAAAAAATTAAAAAAAACAGTATATGAAGAACCGATAACTGATTAGAAATAAAAAAAGATTTCTTTTTAAATCTAAGGAAAGGTAACCTCAGTTTTTCAGTATCGTTGCAATGAGTATTGAAGGATCTGACAAAGTTAAGTTGCATAAAGGAGAGATTTTCCCTGAACTGGTTTTTCTAAATGAAGTTGCAAAGAGATCATGGTTTCGCAAGTCTCTACAAGGTGTATTCAATGAAATTTTTGTTATCAACGTAGGACAATCGACAGGTTTATTGAATAATTTGTACAGCAATAATATATCTGACATATTTTTTCTATCTGTAAGAGACAACAAAGAATACTTTTTGAAAACTGACGAAAATTTCCATTGATTATAGAAATATCACTTTTACACGTCAATTGTTTGACGAATTTATTTTGAACAATTTCAATTCTCTGTTGGTAAATCGAATATTGTGGACTCCAAACAAAAGATGCAAAGTTCAAACAACTATATACATGAGAGTAATATAGATGAAGAAGTGTTTTTGCATTTCTGAAATGTCTTTTATTTCTTATAATGAAACCCAATAAACGATTACACATATTACCGGTCTCCTCAATGTGGGATTTGAAAATCATTTTGGAATCCTTTATCACTCCCAAATCACGTACTTCATCAACTGTTTTGATTGTGTGATTTCCTATTTGATATTGAAAATCAATGGGATTTCTATTTCTGGTGAAAGTTATTTTGTGATATTTATCGAGATTTAGGTATAGACTACTATGGCCACAGATTTCTGCAAATGCTTGAAGATCATTTTGCAATCTCTCACAGTGCTGGATATCTATGATGGTTCGATAAATATTGAGGTCATAGGCATATAACAAAAAGTTGGAATATTGCAATAGTAGTTGTTTACAGCTGATTCTCGGCCTCCCCCCACCACTATGACGTATTAATTGCTTTTTTTATTGGTTGTTGTTTGGTGAAGTCAAGGTGATGTGACCTTGAAGGGTGTGGTGTATGGATCGTTCAGAATTTTTTTCCCGGTTCTAATCCTCCCCCCACCAATATGACGTG